ACTACACACACCATCAAAAAGTGGAGCGCGACAGGCCCAGCTGTGAGCTTTTTCTATATTTTTTTTATCAAACCAATTGGACCATTGTTGATGGTCATTGCTCACTTTTTTTTTCTTTTTATTAAAAAAAATTGTACCGTTATCTAAAGTCCTAAATTTTTTCTATAAATAAGGGATACTTTTTTTTTTCATTTCTCACCTAATATTTCTTCACTTCTTATACTCTGTTACTCATTTCCTTCAACCACTTATACAATTCCTCAAAGTGCTCTTATTTTCTCTCTATGGATGAGAATTTTAATAGTTTTAAGAATATGTTTAATGCTCTAAATATAGAAAATTCATCTTCTTCCCAAAATCAAAACCAACAAAATTTTCAAAAGGGATAATTGCAGAAATCTCCCCTGAGATTTCTGACATTTGCACTGACCTCCCCTCTAGGTTTAGAAATTGCATTCACCTCTCCTGAACAGTAACAATTCGTTGCAGAAACCTCCCTGACAGCTTTTGTAGAAGTGAGATAAGAAATTTCTTCCAATTTTGCCCTCTTCTTGCTTGACAATTATTATTTGCTTGACAATTGCTTAACTAATTAGTTAATAGTTAAACTAATTAACTATTAACTAATTATCTGATTAATTATTAACTAATTAACTAATTATCTAATTAATTAATTAACTAATTAACTAATTTCTATTTATCTAATTAACTGCTTAACTAATTAACTAATTAACTAAAGCTGTTATTTGTCCAAAACTAACAAACTATTTGCATGTTAAACTAATTAACTAATTAATTGCTTAACTAATCAACTAATTAACAGACTATTTGCATGTTAAACTATATGTAGTACGCATTAACTATTTAAAGTATCGGCTTTTTATGGGTATTTTACTTTCAAACATTTAATTTATGATAAAAACATCAATGTTTGTAAGTAAAATTTAAAAAGTGTTACAGTAATATTCTTACAAAAAGGGAGGGGCATAGGGCCATAAATTAAATGTTTGAAAGTAAGAATATTGATATTTTTTGTAACACTTTTTGAATTTTACTTACAAACATTGATATTTTCATCATAAATTAAATATTTGAAAGTAAAATACCTATAAAGAGCCGATATTTTAAATAGGTAATGCGTACTGCATATAATTTAACATGCAAATAGTTTGTTAATTAATTAGTTAATTAGTTAAGCAGTTAATTAGTTAATTAGTTTAACATGCAAATAGTTTGTTAGTTTCGGACAGACAATAACTTTAGTTAATTAGTTAATTAGATAAATATAAATTAGTTAATTAATTAATTAGATAATTAGTTAGTTAATTAGTTAAGTAGTTAGTTAGTTAATTAGTTTAACATGCAAATAGTTTGTTAGTTTTGGATAGACAACAGTTTTAGTTAATTAGTTAATTAGATAATTAGATAATTAGCTAATTAGATAAACAGAAATTAGTTAATTAGTTAATTAATTAATTAGATAATTAGTTAGTTAATTAGTTAATTAGTTTAACATACAAATAGTTCGTTAGTTTCGGACAGACAACAGCTTTAGTTAATTAGTTAAGCAATTAATTAGTTTAACATGCAAATACTTTGTTAGTTTCGGATAGACAACAACTTTAGTTAATTAATTAATTGGATAATTAGTTAGTTAATTAGTTAAACAGTTAATTAGTTAATTAGTTTAACATGCAAATAGTTTGTTAGTTTAGAATAGACAATAGCTTTAGTTAATTAGTTAATTAGTTAAGCAGTTAATTAGTTTAACATGCAAATAGTTTGTTAGTTTCGGATAGACAACAACTTTAGTTAATTAGATAAACAAAAATTAGTTAATTAATTAATTAGATAATTAGGTAGTTAATTAGTTAAGCAGCTAATTAATTAATTAGTTTAACATGCAAATAGTTTATTAATTTCGAACAGACAACATCTTTAGTTAATTAGTTAATTAGATAATTAATTAATTAGATAAACAGAAATTAGTTAATTAGTTAATTAATTAATTAGATAATTAGATAATTAGTTAATAGTTAATTAGTTTAATTATGCAGAAATAGTTTGATTAGTTAATAACTATTAACAATTAGATAATTAGTTAATTAGTTAATAGTTAATTAGATAATTAGTTATTAATTAATTAGATTATTAGTTATTTAGTTAATTAGTTAATTAGTTAAACTATGTAGAAATAGTTAATTTAGTGTAATTTTTATTAACAAATGTTTTGTTGGGTTTGATGAAAGTACTCATCACATTCATTTGGTAAAATTAAATCATGTCTGGGGTACTTTAGTAAATTGACCAACTTTTGTCTATTAAATTGCCTCCAACTTTTGATAGGGGAAGTCAGTGCTATTTCAAAATTGATAGGGGAGGTCAATGCTATTACTATAAAAGTCAAGGGAGGTTTATGCAATTATCCCTTTTCAAAATTACCCCAATTTTTCATTTTCTTATATGGGATAATTGTAGAAACCTCCCATGAGGTTTCTAACACTTGCACTGACCTCCCCTTTAGATTTAGAAATGGCATTCAACACCCCTGAACGGGAACAATTCGTTGCAGAAACCTCCCCTGAGCCTTGATGTCCCATTAAAAAATTATTTGTAGAAGTGAGATAAGAAATTTCTTCCAATTTTTGCCCTAATCTTGCTTGACAATTAGTATTAACAAGGGAGGGGTATAGACATTAAGGATTAAGCAAGTTCAGGGGGTATAAATGCAACATATTTTTTATTCCAATATCTAGCTTGGTTTGATGAGTGTTTCGGAATTAAATGCAATTAAATTTTAAAATTACCGCTGATATAACAATTCTTATAAAACAAAAGAATTACACATACGACAAATTAACATCTTCATAATTGTAACTACAATAGTTATTAATTTTTTTGATAAAATATAAGAAAATCATAAACCATAACAAAAATTAATACTAGAAAATAAATATAGTGGTTGTATTAATAAGGAGTAAATTCCCAAAAAGAGAGAGTTTTTAAACTAACTTTCTAAAGGGTAGCGATTTTTGAGTCTCTTCCCAAAGGGTGAAAAACGCATCGAAGGAATGCGTTCTTCCAAATAAAAATGTAACTTTCAAATACGTTATTTTAATTTTCATAAATTTGTTTAAATATGAAAAATTGGTTAAATAACGCATAACATACCAGTTCTTTATGAAAAACTGGCAAGTTTTGTAGTATGTTTTATACTAGCTCTTTCTGGAAAACATACCAGCTCTTTATGGGAAAAATTAGTTAAATAGCGCTCAAAGGAAAACTAGTATATTTTGTATTTAACATAAATTAAATATGTGAAAGTAAAAAAAAAATTACCCATAACATACCAGCTCTTTATGGGAAACTGGCAGGTTTTTTATTTAATGCGCTATTTAACCAATTTCATTGGCCTGTGGAGCTAATTAACCAATTAGCGCCTTAACTAATTAGTTAATTAGATAACAGAAATTAGTTAATTAGTTAATTAATTAATTAGATAATTAGTTAGATAATTAGTTAGTTAATTAGTTAAGTAGTTAATTAGTTTAACATGCAAATAGTTTGTTAGTTTCGGATTAATTATTTAATTAGATAAACAGAAATTAGTTAATTAGTTAATTAGTTTAACTATGCTGAAATAGTTTGATTAGTTAATTAGATAAATAGAAATTAATTAATTAATTAATTAGATAATTAGTTAATTAATTTAACTATGCAGAAATAATTTGATTAGTTTAATTTGTTTAACAAATTAAACGTTGGTTTTGATGAAAGTATTCAAACCTTTCATCTGGTAAAGTCAAATACAATTGGGGGTACTCTAGTAAATTCACACACTTTTACCTTTTAAATTGACTCCAACTTTTTTTAGGGGAGGTTAATGCTATTTCAAAATTGATAGGGGAGGTCATTGCAAATGTCAGAAATTTTAGGGGAGGTTTCTACAATTTTACCTTCTTGTATTCCACCAAATACGCATATCCACCAAATTTGCCTAATTCCAATCATCCATCCAATTATCAAAATCCATCAGGTTTTCGTATCCATTTCACATGTATCCACCACTCGGTTATTTTAATTCGTCAATGGGAAATCAATATACATTAGAATAAATGTTTGATCTAATGAAAGGTAAAAAATTTAATGAAAGTTAATAATTTATTTTTAAAAAAAATGTGATTATTTTAAAAAATTAATCTTATTTATTTATGAAAGATTAAAGATGTGGATTATAAAAATAAATGTTTGATTTGATTGTATGGTCATGTTATTATACTGTATTAAGTGTAATCTATTATGAGTGAAAGTGTAATGAAAGTGGAGATAGTAGAATGCTGACGTGACATGTGAATTACACTCTAAAGAGTGTAAATCACTGCAGATAGCCTAAGGAGAAAGGCCTCTTATCAGAGCTATACTATCTCTTTTTATTTTTTTTCATCAATATTTGAAGAAATTAGCCAAAATTTTCCGTGATATTATAAAAATAAAATAAGCCAATGCAATGGTGTTTAGCTTTGCATTAGCTTTTTTACATTTCATCACTACAAAGATATGTTCTCACAAACTAATTTTAATGTACGTAATTTTGTTGACAAATATGTGTGTGTCTCTCTCTCTGTATATATATGTATGTATATATGTGTGTATGAGGCAAGATGAGAAAAATAAAAACGTAAACGACGAATATGTTTATTGTTCGCGACTTTTTAGTCTCAATATTTCATTACGCATTCATATTCACTGTCTCATAGAGTCATAGTGGCGGTCCCATTTTTCATCAGCACCATTTTTGGACGCTATTGCCGACCGTAACCACCATACTGTCGCCGGAACAGCACTGGTAAGTTTTCATTATGGCTGTCCATTAACTCGAGTATTAAATGCAACTTATGTGCCTTTTTGCTTGTCTGTCTTTTTCGTGCTTTAGTTTCTTTGCTTGAGTTTTTGCTTGAACAAAGAACTGAAGAAATTCCTGCGAACTTTTTTTTCCCTTGAAACGGTTGTTTTGATGGGTATGAAATGTGGTTTCCTACGAGCTTTGGTACATTTTCTGAGAGCAAACCGCCGAGGTTTACTGCAAGCTGTGAACTGAGAGTTTGCCCATCAACTGTTTGATGAAATGCCCAGACGAAAATATTGACCACAAGAGAAAATTTTAAGTATTTCATGCTGTGTGCACTTTTTGGTTAGACGCTAATGGCCTTGCTGGGTGAAGACAAAAGCAGCGACAGGAAATTTTCGTTTTATTATTGTTGTTGTTGCTATTTTGTTAGTAAGCCACTATGTATGTGAGTGGCTGTGCTTGCGTGAGCGTTGTTATTAGGAGGTACTCTGGTTTTTAGTCCATTGTTGGCTGGAGTTGAGAGCTTCCGGTGAGTTCTGTTGGAGAAGAAGCACACAGCAGTAGCTGCGTTCTGGTCATTGGAGACGATGATGAAATTTCGGGGGGTGTGAATAAGTCCACGATTTTTCCTTGGTTTGTAGTTTGCCTCTAGCATTCTGAAGTTATCAAATAGACCCTGTACCTACACGTTTAACATTTTCAATCAGGTCCTTAGATATTGATTAGTCAATTATTCATTTAATTAGCTTTTCAGCTATTGAAATTTAGTCATAAGTGGCATTAACTGGTTTTCTTTTCCTTTTAGTACTCATATGAGGCATTTTGAGAGGCTAATTTTATTATATTATTGTGTTTCTATGTCTTCATTTTTTTTTTATGTTGCTGGCTGAAGTTCTCCATAGATTTTCCAATGGTTGATTGGATGTTGGCATTTTGCGCTTTCATTTGGTTATCTATGTTTTTTGCATTGTAAGTGTCAGATCTTCCTTTTTGTTAATTAAATGCATGTTACTTGTTTAGCTTGCATTAACCTTTTTTTTTTTTGCCTTAAGATTGTAAGAATACAAAGTTAACTTGCTACTAGTTTTTAGCCTATCTAGGTTGGCCTCAGGATTGTAAGAATGCAAATTAAAGTCAGTTGTTTACCAGGTATGGGATGGTGCTTGATCTTGACCTTCCTCTCTCAGAACTAAGTTCCTGACCTCATTTCTCTTAATTTTAAAAGACTGGGATTAGTCTAGGTGAAAAATTTTAAAAATCAAATAATTAGTATTCTGTAACTTGTTTAGGTGATTGAATATACCTTGAATTCAATTACATGTGGCGGCTCCTTAATTTCGAAAACCCTTTGCAAGACTACTAGTGGGCCTTTGGATTGTCACATATTGTAAGTCATACTTTAGTCACTCTTCTTTTTATTCTATTTAAGAATAAAAACTACTCTTACAATTTTTTTAAATAATTGAATAATGGGGTGCATTGTTTCTGCATTTGCTATGATTAATGCAGAGGATAAAGAGTTAAATAGCATGCTAAACACCCACCGGCTAGTAAACAAGAGTTTTTATTGCTCTTTTGAGTTCAATTGGCCTAAGACATCAAACATGATTTTATGGAAGGATTTGGAGAGAAGTGTCAACGTAAAGCCTTTCTTCTTTTGTTTCGTTACTCTTTGTTTTTTTGAGATTTTTTAGTGGAAAGAAAAGAACTGTTTTGAAGAGATTGCATTCAAAGTTAACCTTTTTGAAGATGTTTATAGCTGGGAAAACAGTACATCAACTTTAAGGCTTGTTGATTTGCTTAGAAAGCCAACCCTAGAGGATTTTAGATTTCAAATAGCTATCCTCATTGAAGCCTAAATCTCATAATTTCTTGGTTAAGAGTTCTCCACAACTATGTCCTCTCACTACCTTTCACTACCTTTCAAAGTAGCCTACAAAAACCAGTACCATTAGTGGCAAATGTGTAAATAGACCTTGTTTATGTGCTTACTTGTAAATGATGTGGAACACTCTAGAGCCACTTGAGTTCATACATTATCCGCTATTGCTTTGTTGTAAGGCTTATAGACGACTTATGGAATTGCCCATTGAAGCTTAATTTTTTTTTTGGTATATAGTTGCTCCACCATTTTATTTTGGGAACAGAGTCTCAATGCCCCCCCAACTCTTTCCCAGATAAAGTTTTAACCGTCCAAAAATTAACAATAAAGGTTTGGCCCTCGATCTAATAAAATAGCATCTTTGTATCCCTTCTGTCAAATTCTGCAGTTAAAATTGATAGAAAGCATCATCTCGTGGGACGCGCGATCAAATATCAGGGGTATTATAGTCCTCCTCCTCCTCTACTTCTATCCCCACCGCCTCCTCCGCCTACTCCTCCACCACCCCACCACCTGTGCCACCGCCACTGCTGCCGTTGCTCTTGCTTTTCCTCACGATAATAAGTAGCATGACCACACGGCTGGGCTTTGGCGAGGGAGTGTAGTTGGTAATCCCACCAAAGTACAATTTAGCGGTAGTGTGAGGTTACAGAAGCTTACTCCATAGCAGCCGATGGTGGCAATAACGGAGGGAAGGGAAATGGAAATAATGGGAATAGGAGCTGGGGTTGGAGTTGGAGTTGGAGCTGCTTCTTCCTTAAAAAACAAGAATCATCCGACCACCCACCCACTTTCACTTCCACTTGTACCCCTCCAATTCAAGCTTCTCAACGGCGGTTATGCGGCGGGTACTGCTACTGGTAAAAAGTAAACAAGAATTTCAATTACTGCGGCGGTTATGCATTTTCAATTACTGCTACTAGTAAAAGTAAACAAGAATTTGTTGGTACATTGATTTGAACTAAAGGGTTGGCTGTAAATCCTGGTTTAAAGGTTTTAATTGGTCGAAGGGTTTTGGGTTTTGGGTTTTGGGAGAATGCTGCTTAGTTTTGAGCTAGATAGTGCTAGAATTGAAGAAAATTAGAAAATTAAGTTTGGCATTGTTTGAGGATTTTCAGGGGATTTTGCAGTTTCCTGCTCATGAATAGGAGACTGCAAAAATTTTGGTAGGCCATGGGTTGCGTTTGCTCTAAAGGTGCTTATATAAGTAAGAATCGTGGCAGAGATAAAGAGCCTGAAAAGGCTTCATCTAAAAGATTTATTGCATCCTCTAGAAAGGAGGAAGTAGTTGTGGAGGTTGACAATGGTGCAAATGACGCAACTGCTAGGTTGATACCGACAGAGAATGTTGAGAAAAGTGCAGCCTCCACGCCTCCTTCTCGGGATAAGGTAGAGAAAACATCTGCAGTGGTTGAGAACTCTAGGGTGCCTCAGATGCCAGAAACTGGTGCATTTGGAGGTGGAATGAGCGGAAGAGAACCCCAAATGAAGCAGAGGAGGAGGAGGAGGACTATAATGCCCTTGATATTTGGTCGCGCGTCTCAGAGATGATGCTTTCCGTTAATTTTAACTGCTGGATTTGACAGAAGGGCCACAAATATACTATTTTATTAGATCGAGGGTCAAAATTTTACCGTTAATTTTTGGAGGGCTAAAACTTTATCTGAGAAAGAGTTGGAGGGCCATTGGGACTCTTTTCCCTTTTATTTTTTGTTAGTAATTTCCAAACTGGCCTACAGAAGTTAGTTGTAGTGACTGGAAATACATAAATAGACATGGTCTATACAGGAGTCATGTGTTTTCTTTCATCTTCATTTATTACTTGCCATTATTTTTTTAATATCGTCATATATTACAGTATGGTGGTTATGTGGCTTACAAATATACCAGTGATCTAGAAACACTTCATAGAACAGGTCAATCATACTATTTTCCTGTCTTAATATTTATCCAACTTATAAATGTTCAACTATATCTTATCTGAGTGTTTGCTTGTTCTACAGGCATGTCTTGTGCAAAACTTGTCACAAACTCCCTCATATCTGTGTAGAAGAACGCATGATCAGACTTTTAAGCCGTCGAGAGCTACAATGGACAAATTCCTGCCGACTCTTTAAACTCCTTGCTTTTGTACGGTCTCAACAATATGGGTTCTCATTTGTGTCTGCTCAATTGGCCCAAGAAGAAGAAGAGTCCTTGATCAGCTGCAAAATGCCACCTTTCACTCCACGAGTATCCAATTCTCATGCATATGCTAATATTCTCCAGAATTGTGTTGAAAACAGTGAACCCATCAGGGGAAAAGCCACTCATTGTGATATAATAAAGCGAGGGGGCTGTTTAGACTTATTTGCAAGAAACGTTTTGCTGAATTTGTACGTAAAATGTGAATTATGGTATGATGCTCGACAGCTATTTGACGAAATGCCGGATAGGAACGTTGTTTCATTTGTTACTTTAATTCAAGGCTGTTCAATGTCCGAAAGATACAATGAAGCTGTTCAACTGTTTGGTAGGTTACATAAAGAAGGTCATAAGCTTAACCCTTATGTTTTCACTACTATCTTGAAGATGCTTGTGACAATGGAGTGGACAGAACTTACATGGAGCATCCATGCCTGCATTTATAAGCTTGGCTACCATAATGATGCTTATGTCGGTACTGCTTTGATTGATGCTTATTCTGTTAGTGGGTTTGTTGATACTGGTAAGGAAGTGTTTGATGTGATTGAAGGCAAGGACATGGTTTGTTGGACTGGAATGGTATCTTGCTATGTAGAGAATGATTGTTTCCCTGAGGCATTAAGTTTGTTTGATCAAATGAGGATGGCGGGGTTCAAGCCAAACAACTTTACGTTTGTGAGCGTAATAAAGGCTTCTCTTGGATTAGATGCGATGGGCATGGGAAAGAGTGTTCATGGGTATGTCTTAAAGGCAGGTTATCAGATGGATTCTTATGTAGGTATATCCTTACTTGACTTGTATACTGCAACCGGAGATATTGATGATTCCAGGCAGATGTTTGAGGAGATTCCAAAAGATGATGTAATTCCTTGGAGTTTCATGATAGCCAGGTACTCACAGAGTGACCGTTGTGATGAGGCTTTGGAATTATTTTGTCGAATGAGAGAATCTTTGGTTGTCCCTAACCAGTTTACTTTTGCTAGTGTGCTGCAATCATGTGCAACAAAACAGGCTTTTGACTTTGGGAGGCAAACTCATTGCCATGTAATAAAAGTTGGTCTTGTTTCGGATGTTTTCGTCTCTAACGCTCTCATGGATGTTTATGCTAAATGTGGAAAGATGGACGGTGCAATGAACTTGTTTGCAGATGCTGCAATTATAAATGACGTATCCTGGAACACCATCATTGTTGGCCATGTACAATTGGGTGATGCAGAGAAAGCCCTAGATTTGTTTCTAACCATGGTTGATAACAGAGTCCAAGCAAGTGATGTGACTTGCTCAAGTATTTTGCGGGCTTGTGCTAGCTTAGCGGCATTAGAAACAGGTGCTCAGATGCATACATTCATAATCAAAACACTTCATGATAAAGATGTTGCTGTTGGAAATGCACTCATAGATATGTATGCAAAGTGTGGAAATATAAAAGATGCTCGCCTGGTCTTTGACACAATGAACAAGCAGGATACAGTGTCATGGAATGCTTTGATCTCAGCATATTCCATGCACGGTCTTGGTAGCGAGGCTCTGAAAATCTTTGAGAGGATGCAGAAAACCGATGTCAAGCCTAACCAGTTAACTTTTGTTGGTGTACTTTCTGCATGTAGCAATACAGGGTCTCTAGATAAAGGGCAGGCTTATTTCTCTTCAATGCTTAAGACCTATAATGTTGAACCTTGCGTGGAGCATTATACCTGTATGGTGTCTCTCTTAGGGAAAATGGGGCATCTGGACAAGGCAGTGAAGTTGATTGAAGAAATTCCATTTGAGCCAAGTGTTATGATCTGGCGTGCTCTGCTTGGAGCCTGTGTTATCCATAAAAATGTTGAGATTGGGAAGATCTCTGCCCAACATGTGCTGGAAATGGATCCACATGATGAAGCAGCTTATATATTGTTGTCAAACATATATGCCAGTGTTAAAAGATGGGAAAATGTGTCTTCTGTTAGGAAAATTATGAAGAAGAAACGAGTAAAGAAAGAACCTGGAGCTAGTTGGATTGAGCACCAGGGAATAGTTCATTATTTCACAGTAGGAGATGTGTCACATCCAGACAGAAAATTAATTCAGGGGATGCTGGAGTGGTTGAACTTGAGATGTAATAGAGCTGGTTATATCCCAATTTCTGATGTTATTTTACTTGATGTAGAGGATGATGAAAAGGCTCGACTTTTGTGGATGCATAGTGAGAGATTAGCTTTAGCATTTTCTCTTGTGAGAACACCATCTGGAACACCCATTCGTATTATCAAGAACCTCCGTATATGTTTGGATTGCCATGCAGTGATTAAGCTCATTTCAAAACAAACACAGCGAGATATCGTCATTAGAGATGTAAACAGGTTTCATCACTTTGAGGATGGAATTTGTTCTTGTGGCGATTACTGGTGACCTGCCCTTTATTGGAGGGTTGTCCGGTTAAATTTTGTACTTCTTCTGTTTCCTCACAATGAATTAAGGGATGATATCTAATTGGATGGGACTCATTCACTACTCAGAGACAGTTCACCAGGTTTTGCAACATTGAAGATGTCTTAGGACCTTTTCACTCAAATTTTCCATTGGCACTAATGTTGCTTTAGGACAGACTGACAAGGATCTCTCATGTTGAGAAGTCTTCTTCGTTCTGTCTATCGTTGGATGAAGAGTGGCTCACCTTCAGGACAAGCACTGGTGATGCCTTCTCTGATCAGCTGAATATTTCCAAAGCTGTCAGTTCACCTTGTGCTGTGACTGCGAAGATATCTTAGGACTTTTTCACTCAAATTTCCCATTGGCACTATTGTTGCTTTAGGACAGACTGACATCAATCTCTCGTGTCAAGAAGTGTTCTTCATTCTGGGTATTGTTGGGTGAAGAGTGGCTTACCTTCAGGATGAGCAATGGTGATGCCTTCTCCAGTCAGCTGAATCTTTCCAAAGTCGTCGATGTTCTGGGATTCGCTATCTCTTTTAGAATTGAAAACAATCTGGCAGGTCTGGAACAACCCACATCCTTCATAAAATTGAAAACCATTTGTTGGTAAGATGACACCAACCTCGATTTGACTTTCTAAGGATAGATACATCTACCAAATTCTAGTGAGGTTCTTCTAGAATTAACATTGTTGGTAAAATGACACCAACCTCGATTTGACTTTCTAAAGATAGATACATCTTCCAAATTCTAGTGAGGTTCTTCTAGAATTAACATTGATGTTGTTCTAAGGCCCTTGAAATTCTTTTCTGTTCAAACAAGAAAAGTTGTTTGAATATTGCGGTGTGTAAACCCTATTAATAACTAGGCATATCAACAAGTTTTGGTAGAAGTATCCCTTCGAGACCTAGGTACGATTTGGTTTTATGCTCTGCACAATTAACGCTGCCAATTGCTTTCGATTGTTTGAGGTTCAGTGAAACTATTTGCACTCTTAATACATTGCAGGCAATTTTGGATTTTGATCTGACATCTGAGTCTAACCTCCATGAATTTGTTAATGTAGAAAGAATAGACCTTTCCTAGATGGCCATATTCCATTATGAAAATGCATGCAAACTTAAATTACTTGGATCCTAGAAACTGATTTTAGGCCTCTGGAAGTCATGCTATCACAGATAATAGCATCGATTGTATGGTGTATTAATGCTCTATTATGGCTGCTTTTAACTTGGATGTTTATGTGATAGATTTCAGATGGTGATGAGATGCATTGCTAATGTAAGCCTTTTGTTTAAACTATTCTAGTTTAGTCTTTTAATGTGCATGTTATTGCATTAAACTGTCAGATCTTTGTTGTCATTAGTTCCCAGTCAAAAGCATTATTGGTGATGAATCTACTTTTATATTATACTTTTGGGCTAACGCATGTTTAACAACTCTGTTTCTTTGCGATTATAAGATTTCGGTTAGGCCTTGCTGCACCTTTTAAACCATGAATTGGGCTGTATAGTGTGCTTTTTTGGACAAATCACTTCATTGATTTAGCTCATTTGCTGCCTCTTGGAAGAAGCATATATCTTTTTCCTTTTTACCTCCTAGGCTATTGTTTGATTACTGCTCCCGATACTAGTGACCCTGTGTTGTTATTATTTTTTCATACAAAATAATGTTTTGACATGCCTCTATTTTTGGCTATGTTGTTGCAGGCATTGCAGTGCTTGTGCCTAAGTGGCTATTCTTATCATTTATAGCCTTTCCGTATCTTGAGGTAATTTTGATATGCTTTTTCTGTGTGGACGTACAGGTAATATATTTTGGCATTTGCTATTTGTTCGTGTAAGTATGGCCTTAATAACACAAGTTTAGCCATAGATAACAATTTTCCACCTGTAGTTTTTGGCTATAAAATTCAGTCTTGCTTGTGAGTGCCCCATCACCTCCATTATTGTGGGATTTATATGTAGGGAGTTCCCCCTCTTAAATTTGATTTTCTCTACACCGACAAACAATGATGACTTCATATTTATCATCTAAAAATGATTGTGGTATTAGTTATGATTTTTCCACCTGTAAATGAAGAAGCATCAAGGTCAGAAATTGCATTTGAAGCAATAAAAGAAGTATACAAGTCTTTCAAGGTCAATTTACTTCTGTTTTGCTATATATTGTCAATTTTATGATTTCGGTTAAGGTTGTTTAACATTTCCATCCCTGAAAATTTTCTGGGTACCTCCTCACTTGTAATTGCCAATATTTAGCAATTTCTATGATATAATTAGCAACACTCTCTGTGCCATGTATTGGTTATAATCTTTTATTTTAAGTAGCACTAAACATTATTTTCTTTTGCATTTAAATTTGTTTATGATTGACATGTCTTTAAAGGGATATTTAATTTCTTGATTTATTATTATTATTAAATTTTTTTTTTTTTGGGCAGTGACTGGTGAGCAATGAACTATTTTCCAGTCTATTAGGGAATAAAGTGTATCTTTTTTGGGGAGGTGGAAAAGGGGGACTGTACCGTTTTCCTTTTTGAAGGGGAGTGCAGGGTCACGGTTATCAGTGAAAGTGAAATCCTTGTTCTCAGTTTCGAAATAAAGACCCTGCCCACTATATTATACATGTGTCTTATTTTGATGCAATAAAATAATATCCTTTAATCCTTTTTACTGGTTCTCATAGCTCGTTTCTTTAATGCTTTTACAGCCTTGGCTTTGTTCTGTGAAAGAGGATTTTAAGTTGGAATAATGGAGTTGAGCAGTACTGAATGAGGAGGAAGAGAATTGTCATAGTTCCAAGAGGCTATAAACTTCTCCTGGACATTCTTTCCTTTTCGCCTACGCCAGATGCAGTTAAGACTCTCCTTTTTCGAAGACCTGGGAATCTCTGTACTGAAATACGGGTTCTTGATTTTGCTGAATGCTTATCTACGAGTTGATGATGATTTATAATTCTGAGAAAACCCCCAAGACAACGAAAAAATTCATGAATTTAATCTGTCATGTGTTGTAAAATCAAAGGTAATTTTCTTTTCTAAGATAGTTGAAATTTTCTTTCTTTGTTGTACGTCCTCCTTTGACCTCTCTCTCTCTCTGTTTCTCTTTTTTTTTTTGGCATCACAGGGAGTATCCCTTTCGGACTAATCTCCTTGCGCCTGTGCACTTGCTCCTAAGATACACAAGACGGTAAAAGGAGTTGAACCGCGACCACACGGTGCCAGGACCTAATGAGGTTACCCCAACACCAGCCGAGCCGACCCCGGGGGCTGTCTCTCTTTCTCTCTCGTTGTGCAGTTTCTTTCCCTTTTCTTTTGTGTCCTCCCTCTTGCTATCAAATGAATAACATTTTCACCTTCTTGACTCTATATAGCCCATTTGTTGAGCATATTTCTCACTACCACATGCGCGAGTCAGACTTGGGCTCTCCCTATTTTCGTCCGCGTCTCCTTGCCTTTTTTTTTTCTTTCTTTTAGAGTGGATTAGTTTATTTTTAATATTTATCAAAGTTATGTTCTTACTTCTTAGAGACCATCAAGTTTTGAGTGTGGGATTGTAGAGAAAGTGGATTCCACTTGCTCTTTCAGTCTTGTTATTTTAATCCCTTTTTGCACCCCTCAAATTATTACTCTACTATTTACCACATGAATGAAATGTGAGCCGTTTGTAATACATCAGCACTTATGGTTCATTCAATCTTTCTTGTTATATTTTAACCTCTTTCCTGCAGGCCGAAGATTGGCTTAAACGAAAGTAAAACGACAAGGTAGCGCGTTAGAAGTCCTTAGTATGTCCCCTCATGCTTTTCTTATCTATTTTTTTTTTCTTTTTGTGTCAAAATTTATGGTTCAACATCCAAAATATCAAGAAAAATGTTCCATCAACGTCGTTCACTTGGTAAGGAGTCATGTATAGTTTTACTTTGTTTGTTTCTTCGATAAACTATTTTAAGTACTTTATTCGTGTGCATTTTGTTACTAGAAGCAATAGAAGATGAACTTGTCCCACCATTCCATCTTTCTCTTCTTACTAATTTGAATTCATAGGCGAAAGGGTACTCGGTTATTTGAAAGACAACGTTGATTTTGGAATTTGCTTCAAGAAGTAAGAGAAGTTCAAATTTTATGGACTTGAAGAAAGTGATTGCTAAATTCTATGATGACATTAGCAACATTTAAGGACTAAGCTGGCGTTTGGTAAGAGGGTTTCGGAACGGAAAATTGGAATAAATTTCATAATTATTGTTTGGATTACTACTATGGGAATCGAAATTTTGGAATCATACCTAAAAATTTAGAATTCTTCAATTTCCTAGTAACTTGGAAGGTTTTGAACAAAATCCTTTCAAGTCTGCTTCCCATTTAGAAATGGGACCCGTCCCACCACCCATTAAAAAAATTCATATATAATTATATACAATATATTATATAAATATATATTATAATTATTTAATTAACTATATTTGTATTTATATAATATATATTATAAATTTATTAATATTATATAATAATATATTTATATTATTTATATATATTTATAAATGTATATTATATGTGCATATAATTATAATATATACGTGTATATAATAATAATAATATATTATATAATTATATTTATATTTATTATTATAAATATACTAATATATAATAAAAATTATATTTAATATATAATACTCCCTCCGTCCCAATATTAGAGACGTTTATAGGGAATGCAACTTTTTATATACAGTGGTATCATTATTGACAGCCAAGCCTTTGTTCCAAATTTACCCTGTCACAAGTACAATGGTCAGCTGCACTTTGTGTTTTTCATGGAGTAATGATTTCATGGGTCCCATCTTAACCAAAAGCATCCCTTTGTATGTTAGAGACAGGCGCTATTATTGGTCTTATAAAGTGAGAGTTAGTCTCACGTACTCCTCTGGTTTCTCCAAATGAATAATAAATAGCAGGTCCCACCAAATTTATTTGGATTTTCTAGCACATGCACTATAAGGGCAAGGACGGAACATTAGAAGGAAAATAGTGTAGCGTGACTCTAATTTTGGGACAATGAAAAAGGTGAAACATGACATTAACAATGGGATGGAGGGAGTATACTTTATAATTATATAATATTAGTATAATTAATATTTATATATTATATATTATATATTTATTTATATTTATATTATAATATATACATATATTATAATTATAATATTTTATTATAATATTAGTATTTTAAATAAATATATAATATAATTATTTAGTTAAATATAATTATACTTATATAATATATATTATAAATTTATTAATATTATATAATAATATATTTATAATATATATGTATATTTATAAATGTATATTATATGTGCATATAATTATAATATATTCATGTATATAATATTAATAAATCATATATTTATATTTATTATTTTAAATATAATTATATAATAATTATTATTATATTTAATATATAACATACATTATAATTATATAAAATATTAGTATAATTAATATTTATATATATTATATAATTATAATTATACATTTATATTATAACATTTGTATAATTATTTTAATTATATATATTTAATTTAATTAATTACAAACTTATAATAATGATATTATTAGTTATATGTATTATATAATGTATATTAATTTATGTAATATAATTAATATTATCAATTATACTAATATTTATACATGTTTACTAATAGAAATTATTAATTAGTTATACTAAATTTACTAATACATATATACTAATATATTTAATTAGTGAAAATTTCTTATATCTCATTTACAAAAAACCAATGAACCAAACATCAACTATAGTAATGATATACATTTCTGGCACTGAATCAAATAAATGTATTGGAATAATTGATTCCATTCCAAATCCAGGATGAATGATTCCGAATCCAAATCCGATTCCAACATGCGAACCAAACGCCACCTAACAATAAAGTCAAGGGAATAAAGGGGTTGCTTAGAAAATTCTCAAGAAGATTTCCAAAACAAAATTTGAAAACTTGAGAAAACTTGAGATTTGCAACTTTCGGTACAGATTTGGGATGAATTTGATAGTAGGGTAAATCTAGTTGGAATCATTGAGCTTTGGCCTAGTGGTCCTTCTTTGGGTTGTAAGTCAGGAGTTCGAGCCCTACCTGTTGTGAAAAAAATTCAAAGGAGGTGTCAAGACACCTCTTTGGTCTAGTAGGTTCTTATAGCTATTAGTTTCACATATACAACCTCTTTAACTCCCCTTGCCCCTAAATTAGGATAAATTAGGTTATAAAACTATTATCGCAGTTGTAAAAAAATAATCTAGTTGGTCCAATAAATATTTATTATTAGTTTGTGGAGTAGTTCAACTTTCTCCAGAATTCTAGTGAACTTAGTTAAGATATTCTAGATGACTATAGTACTTATTTCAAGTTCATATACTTCAATACGTTGAAGGTTCATTGATGCAACATGTAAACAATTCGATCTCCGGATAAGAGAATCAATTTAAGATGACATTAACAACATTTTTGGGTTCTCGGGATCATGGGCAATTATCTATCGTGTTCAAGTTTTTTTTTTTTAAAGAAATCATGCTCTATAAGTTTGAGAAATGTTGCGACCTTTAATTCCTATAAATCTAGGAAAAGGTTCTGAGACGTTTTTTAATTTGCCCCCAGTACAGCATCGAAACCAAATCTTTTCAACATAGAAGTCAAAGATTTCAATTTGGATTTGTATTAGTCCCCAGTAGAGCATCGAAACAATCTGCCCCCAGTATAGCATTGAAACCAAATCTTTTCAACATAGAAGTCAAAGATTTTAATTTGGATTTGTATTAGCCCGATCATGGCGAGAATTGATGTCCACATATTGGTAGCAAAGTTGATAATCTTTTGGTTCTGATAAATATTAAGCCCTTCTTTGTATAGATTACAAGATAAATTTTGTATGCATTGTTTTTTTCAAATAAGATTTTATTACTAACTTTGTTAGAAATCATTCAACATGAATTACTCGACAAAGGTAGGAATAGTTATCAATCGATTTCGAAGTAAATTTGGAAATTTGAAATCGATAATATGGAATTCAGCCAGTAATTCAGCCATTTCAAATTGCAAATAGTTGAATATGGTTCGAATTCAATATTGGGAGTTCTCAATTCGAAATTTCTGAATTCGAATTCAGATTCGGTACTCAATAGTGCTGTATATAGTTGACATTGTATTCCATGCGAACCAAAAGCTTGTTTTCAAAAGGCCAAGGGCCGCCTTGCATCACTCGAGATTTGTCTGTAAGGTGGAAAAGATTCGGAAAGAGCAAGATTGTCTCCAATGGCAGTGAGTGACAACCCGTGTGGAGGATTTCGTAACACCTTCATAGTTGATATCATTGCCTCAATATTGATAGACTTCATTGAAAAAGATATAGAGATACATTGTGCTGGATGGCTTCAATGGTATTGATAGGTATAATCACACGTTCAATTTCATCATCCCTTAAGGACAAGTTTGCATGGACCTTCTCCAACTCTTCTGCTATTTGCCCAAGTAGAAGACAAACTCCAAAGAGAGCGGAATACAAGGAGCCGCAGAAATGAATGAACAAACTATGAAACCTATCATGTAAAAGAGTACCAGAAAAACAATCAAAAGAACCGACAATGGAGTTAAAAAATGACAATCCAACGAAAAGAAAAGAGAAGTAGAACAATATGGAAGCTAGAGCTGTTAAGCGTAACGAGTAGCTCGAAAGTGAAATTAACGAGCCGAGCTCGAGCTCGAAAAATACTCGTTTAGTTATCGAGCCGAGTAAGCTCGAACTCGCTTCTTTATCGAGTAGTTCGGTTGAGCTCGACAAAGAAGGGCATTTTTGTCAGTTTAGCAATCAAATATACAAATTTGGACTAGGGTTCGATGCATCTTTCATTTTTCTCCTCCGCCTCTGGCTCTCCACCGTACGCCAAAAGTCGCAACCTTCCTCAACTTCCCTCTCAGCCGCAACCAACAGCTCTGCCTTTTCGCTGCTTCCCACGGCCGCAACCCACGGCCAGAGGTTTCGCCACTACCCACGGGCCACAGCCGCTACCCACAGCCAGCAGTAAAACCAGTTACTCCCGATAACCTTTGCTCCCTGGTCTCCACCGAAAATCACCGCACGTGTTGTCTGGTAAGTGTTGTCTCTTTTCGTACTGTAAACGAGAGTTGAGCTCGGACAGATATTTCGAGCTCGAGCTCGTCCGAGCTTGGCTCGTTTGTGATGAGCTCGGACTGATATTTCGAGCTCGAGTTCGAGCTCGTCCGAGCTTGGCTCGTTTGTGATAAACGAGCTCGAGCTCGAGCTCGAGTTCAAGTCACATATTCCATTTCTCGAGTCGAGTTCGAGCGTATATCATGGCTCGTCAATGTTATCGAGCGAGCTCGAGCCTGGCTCGAGTTCTTCACGAGTCGAGCTCGGCGTTCAGATACTCGGCTCGACTCGACTCGATTAACAGCTCTAATGGAAGCACAGGAGAACAGAGGAATGGGAAAACCAAGAAACTAAACTTCCACTAGGGTTCTACAGTAGAGACAACCAAAAACCCTAAGAAAGACTAAAAGTTGCATGGGCAAGAAGAAACCCATAGAGAGAATCTCTCATGGGATGAAATAAATGCTTGGATTGACAAACAATTTTTTATACACTGTTCGTATATACACTAGCA